CCGGGCCTGCGGGCCGTGGGTCCAGGCGCGAGCGTAGGGCCCGTCGGTGCCCTGTTCCCTCCGCTCGCCGTCCATATGGGCTGGACGCGGGCAGCGTGGTCTCTCGGACTTCCTTGGCAAGGGTGATGGCCCTGGCCCTAGCCCTTCTTTGAAGGTCCGCGCCCCGGCCTGGATCCCATCCGCCAACTGGCGACGGGAGGTGACAGCAGCAGCCGGCCCGGCCCACGTGCACACTTCGCGGTCCCGAGCTGCTTGCAGGGATGAGGCTGGGAAGTTGAAGATGGAGCCCCATGGAAAGCCCCATATGGAAAGCCTTGCAACCCACCTGTCTTTTCGAGCTCACGTCTCCTCAGGGCCATTATCTCTAAAGGCCCATTTGTAGGGTTCGTTCGAGCTGTTAGATGAGTGAAATATTGTGGTTTAATTTCAGCCACCTTTTTTCCTCCACGCAAGACAAATAGAAACAGTAAAGTGAAACAACTTTTAGCCTCCCTTCTCCCACCCTGTGGTAAAAGCATGAACTGAGTACTGAGATAGCCAGCAGTTAGTGGTCAGAACCTGGGTAGTCCACACGGCGACCTGAAAAATGGAGAGTTGACAGAGCGGGTTATTATCCATCTACACAGAAACGCGTAAGGAAATATTGAAGATTTGGTGGTTGGAGAAGACTAAGGATCCAGTGTGATTTTTGTTTTTGTTTTTGTTTTTCTTATGCCTTTTAAATAGATTTGAACCTGATTGATTTACCGTCGTTTGTTTTTGAAAACTTCTGGGGCTAATCATATGGCTTCAGATGACATTATGACTGCTTCGTTTGTTTGTTTAAGTAGCTACAAAAGTCGCAAGCGCAAAATGTTGACTCTTATTAGCAAAGTTCTCAAAATCTTTTTATATTTGTGCAGATAAAGTTTTGTATGAGTTGGAAAATTTTTTTTATGGCTTTGATTCATTTAGTGAACTTCTGCCCTTCAGCTTATGCTGACAACCCTACAAATTCTTCTCCTTGGCTTGAAAAAAATTTAAGCTAGATAATCACCATGAACTTAATATTAATAAGTGCTTTTGTTTGGATTTTACCCTTTTCTCCTGAGTCTGATGAGGTGGATATCCAATTCATTGAACAGCCTGAGGTTCTAGAATGATGTGAACTTTGTGCACGTTGGGGTTAATAAATGAGTAATAATATTGTGAAGATACTTAGATACTTCATTTACAGGTAGTATAGACATGGGAATGGATTGTGTTACCAGCCTCATTGCAAGATATTAGTTACTTCCCTACAATGTAGCAGATTTTCTGTTTTGAGCCTTTAGTTCAGATTTGTTCTTTCCTTTTTTCTGTGCATAGTGGATGTAGGAGTTAAGACATCTGTTATGAAAATTGAGAATAAGTTAGCAAATAAGAAGAAACAATTAGAGAGATCAGGAAAGAATTAACCAGAAAATGAAGTTTGAATGGAGTGTCTGGAATGATATTATGAAGTAGTAGCCTGCCTGAGATAAGTGGATCTAAATGGTGTCAATACTGATAAATATAATTCTGACCACTTGGAACTAAGTTTGGAGATTTACATGTTGAAAGGGACCATAGTGGTCATTTTGTCCAGTCACACTTTCAGTGCAGAATTTCTTTCTTTTATACAGATGGCTTATTTCTTACATATAAACTTTGAAGTTGATCTTGGATTAGAAAGCTAAACTTGTCCATTTTATTTTTGAGTTGAAATGATGGTTTATTTCTGTTGAGTTTCTCCAAATTCTCAAAAGTTATCTATGGAGTAGTTTGATTCCTGGGCTTTGGACTCAGACAGATGTAGGTCTATTTTGTTGCCTTGACATTGTCTATATTTGTGGTCATGTGCCAGTTTAAACATTTTTGTTTGTTTCCCAATTTTGTCCTTACAGAAGCTACCTCAGGGGATCATTTTGCATTTTGAGATAATATATCAATATTATCAATGAGATAGTGAGATAGTATATCAAGCATAAAACAGATTTACCTGGTACTTGGTAGGCACTTAGTAAATGTTAATTCTCTCTATCACATCAATATTTCTGGCTAATGGAACATATGCTTAGGCTCTTTAGATCTTGTAGCTGGGGGTTATTTTTGTGCCACATTTTGTGGTTTCCTAAGTTTAGTAGGAGTAAGTTCTCTCCACAGTGGCTGTTTACCATGAATTTTTTTGTTTTGAATGGAATGACCGTCGTTTTCAAGAAAATGTTTGCTTTCTCAGAGGTTACCAATCTAGAGTTGAAATTTGTCCCCTTAAATGATAGTACAGGTTTTCCCCGCTATCTGAAAGTAGAGCATTCCTATGAAACTTTTCCAGAGCTGAAACGGCATAAAGAGAAGCAGCAGTCCCTTTAGGACACATCTTGCTAAGGAATGCACAAAGTAAATCAAGATAAAGCACAGATGCTCACAGACGTAGCTTCAAAGTTATGGCAGCTTGATGCTGAGTGTAGGTCCTGGGGAAGGAGCTTGGCCTTGCCACTGTTATTGTTTGGAATGGGCACTGCCTCTGTAATGGCTTGCTACAAAACAAATGCTGAATACTATTTTCATTTGTCATAAAAGCTAAAATCCTCTTTGGGTTTCTTTCAGTTAACAAAAATGTACTAATGTAGGTCTTTTTGTAAAAGCGAATGGCATAAAGTGAATTTTCAAAAAGCGAGGTGTACCTGTAATATCAAATTTCTGAATTCTAATGTTTTAGCACTTAATCCTTTGGCAAGGAGATGCAAACAAGGCTTAATTTAAATGAGGTTGAATAATCATTGTTCTTACATAATACAGTATGTGAATTTTAAAAAAATCTTCAAAAGTAAGGTATGTAGAAACAGTAAGTTCTTCAGTTTATGTCAGCATCTAATAATGTTTAACCTTCAGGAATATTGGTTTAATGTCATTTGTAATGTCCTGAGAAAGGAAAGCAAAACTGAGGTCTTTGTAACAGTAACCTGCTCCAGTAATTTATTGTCTTTCAGTAGACATTATAGCATTTTGCTGCCCTTGACTTTTCAAATAGCCATCTGAAAGTGCAGAGGTGGATTTAAGTGAAACTGTAGAATTGTCAATATTCATGGGGGTAGAAGTCTATATACTTCTTCCCAGTTAAAAAGAACTAGGGAGAACTAGGGAGCATATTTCCCTGCTACATTGGCTTTATTTTCCTTTTCTTACTATCTTGATGTTATGCAGAGGCAGTGGGAATTGTTTGCTTGGCATATATCTCTGGACTCCTTCCCTGTGGCTAGAATGATGTGTGGGCTGTGTTGATTAAGACGGCAGTGAGTACCTACCCACCACAGGTGGGAAAATAATACTTTTACTCAGTTTTACTAGTCTCCCATCATTTCAGTAAAAAGAGTAGAAGCTAGGTTTATTCAGAAGGTGTAGAGTTTTCTTTGAGAAAACTATTGGCTGTGATCAAGCATCTCCGGCATTTGCTTCTTATAAAGTAATTACAGAATTTCTTTAAAAGAACCTAGAGAACTGACTTAGTTGAAAACTGCCTGCTTTATCCTACTCATTCAACTGTTAGGATCCTGTCCTGGTTAATAATTTAAATCTATCAGAGTGAGGAGATTTTCAAGCATGGAAATGACACTCTGAAATAGGGATCTATATTTCAGAGACATGGGAGATTATTGGGAAATTTTCAGAAGGTGGGCATTTTGCCAGGAAATGGGTATCTTGAGGTGTGTGTAACTTCTTATGAAAAATTCCTACCATATACAGAGGTAGAAAGAAAAGTTTAATAAACCCACAACCAATCTTATTCTTTCTATATCCCCACATACTACTCTCCTCCCCCAACCAGATTATCTTGAAAATACCAATTATATCATTTCAGTACACTGACAATTTTTATAAACTAAGTTTTTAGTTAGGAAGCATGTATGTTATTGAATAATATTTACCTAATGTACTTGTCATGCTGGACCAATGAAAATAAAGAAGCCACTTGTTCAGTGTTCATTGTTTTGTTCTTGATCTAGCTTAGCCAGGAATTTAAAGTAGAACTGACTGATAACAGTTCTAAATATGATACAGGTAGGCATTGAGATGGAATTCAGCTGAGTGCTGAGCCACAGTAGAATGTTAAAAACTGAGTGAATTGTTCACAGATACAAACTACTATATACAAAATAGATAAACAAGTTTCTTCTGTATAGCACAGGGAACTATATTCAATATCTTGTAGTAACCTATAGTGAAGAAGAATATGCAAACAAATAAATGTGTATGTATGACTGAACCATTATTCTGTACACCACAAATTGACAATATTGTAAACTGATTATACTTCAATTTAAAAAAGCTTAATGAATTGAATTAAACGAAGTAGAATTTTTTGAGGCTGCTACCTTGGCTTCCAGAGACCAGCATAGTTCTGAGAAGAACATTTGGGCTTCTTTTAAAAACTAAACTTTCTGGGAGGTATAGCCATGGCAGGAGCTCATTTACAGAGTTCTGAGGCCTCTCAGAGCAGGTCAGTACAGCTTACAGAACACCAATAAAAGGCTCTTTTCTGCAAGACACTATGCTTTATCTGAACCAAACTACTTTAGAAGGGGGAAAAATATATGTTAGTTAACATATTGCTATGGGGCAGAATTTTACTGCTCATTTGAAGCTACTTCTGTTTGACAATCTATAAATATATCTTGCGTAAGTTGGAAAGCATTTTCAGGCCTAAATGTGTTCTCTCATTGCATGCGACATTCTGGAGTTGTATTTTATAAAAATGACAGATGAGCCAACTATTGGCTGCATTATTAGAAATAAAAAGAAAGCAAGGTTTAAGCTTTTCTGTTTTGTTTTCAATTCTTAGTGGTATTCATTTGGGAAGCTGGTTTTTTATATATATATATTTTATTGAAGTATAGTCAGTTTACAATGTTGTGTCAGTTTCTGGTGTACAGCACTTCACTCATATAGGAACATACATGTATTCGTTTTCATATTCTCTTTCACCATAAGTTACTACAAGATATTGAATATAGTTCCCTGTGCTATACAGGGAAGCTGGTTTTAAACTTGAAAAGCAGCCATCTCTTTCAGAGAAGTGGCTCAAATGGTGCTGGGTGTATATCTGTAGAACAAGAATAGATAAGCGAGTAGTTTATAAACAGCCTCTCTTCTAAGGAAGCTAGCCATTTTAGGAGAGCAGTCTGGTTGGTACTTTTGAAGATAATTTGGTTATTATAGCTGGAAGATTTATTGGCTACCAAAAATAATTGGGTAAATATTCAGTTGGATATTGATAGGTAGTCTCTTGAATCAGATAACTGTTCACGGTTTACTAAATTATAGACATACTCCCTATTTTAACTGTTAATTTGAGGTGTTTCTGTAGGAACCTTTCTTGCATTTTCTCAACTTATTGTCAACATTTACAAAGTCCTGATGGTTATGGAAAATTGGGCAGATTTAGACATTCTACTTTACATTTACTTTTGGGGCACCTGCAAATTTTACAAGTAAGGAAGCAGAAACTCTTTAAGTTCCTGGGGAAAGCTACCTGGCCTTCTGTTTTGGGGATTACATCTATTTGGAAGACTGACCAGTCTCTTTTTGCTGACATCACTATGCTGCCTTCTTCAGGGACTTTCCCCAGTATGGGACTAACTTCAGGGCAGACTTGTTTGAAGCACTCTGGGATGAGGGCGACAAACAAGGCTTGCCTTTTGTGATGCTTTTATGAACTGAGGAGCAGATGCCATGGTTATTTCCAGGACTTGTTGATAGGAATGACTGTTCCAACTATCCTGTGGTGGAATTCTAGGTAGCCTTATGGCTGCACTGATGGGACACTTTAATTAACGACTATCTGGGATAAGGTTTATGCTTTGATAGGGAAACCAGGGATGGGGTAGAGTTGGTGTGAATGAGATACTGAAGGAGCAGTGATATGTGTGGGGTGATGTTTTCCTGATAAAGGGAACTGAGGAACGTCAGCAATGAACAAAAATACCACTCTATTGTGTCTGTTTATGTTGGAGTTATTGAGATAGAGCACATTTTCAGCCATACTTCTCCCCTCTTGACCTCCTCGTACCAGACTCCTTTCCTAAAATTAGTAAAAATCCATCATAGGCAATTTGAGATGAGTAACTGACATAGTTGTAGCTGGGCAGATCTTAGTATGTGCTATAACCCTCCTCTTTGATGAGATTCCCTGCAATTCTAAGGAAGCTCATTCCAGAACTAATTAAAAGAATGACTGTTGGTTTGGAGGTATCTAGTTTCCAGACATTTAGTTTATACTTCAGGACTAAGGTAAGAAGTCATGTTTAATATGATGCTTTAAAGGAACTTTGGCTTGTTCAAAACAGGTTCCTTCATTATTTTTCACTGAGATTTGTGGGATGGCTATCTTTGGGCCTTAGTGTCCTTATAGGTAAAATGGGGATAACACCACCTTACAGGACTTAAGTGAGGGTTAACTGTGTTACTACATGTAAAGTTCTTTGCACAGCGCTTGGTGCAAAGTAAGTACTTAGTAAATGCTATCTATTGTTATTATTATCATCACTGCTATTGGTAGAGAGTTACAGATAAACATCTGCTGGAAGTAAGCACATGGTCCTTCTATCTGAAGCACTGCCTAAGCAGCATATCACCCACAGACCCGGCTTTCCTATATTCTGTGAAGATTACAACAAGAACTCCCAAACTCCTGGTAGTTAACTTTTATTTTTAGTTCTCTGGTTCTTTTGTACTGTGGTGTAATGATACAAGCACTTAAGCAAACCAGTGGGGTAATGCAAACATCTGCTCTCTAATTTCTAACTCTAGTATCTTAGGTGTCCAGTCACTAGCTGCTTTGCTTTCAATCTGTTAACTGAACTGTGGGTTAAATTGCAAAGGTAAGGTAATTATAAAAATATTTTTACTTTTATACAAAGTTCTCTCCACTCTGCTTGCAGACCCTGTAGTGTCCTTAATCAGGTTTTTTTTTTTCCTTTGGATTTGCAGATTTTTATTAGGAATCACGCCTTGGTTAATTTATAAACCTAGACTGATTGAGACTTTATGATCTGTCTTGTTATAAAGCCAGAAGCTTGGTGTCATAGTTATGGCATATTAGTCAGCCTCTGTCTCTTCCAGTAGCGTCAGGGCCTCCTGCTTTGCATTTGCCATCCTGTGGCTCAGCTTCAAACAGCGTGTCATAGTTGTGCCTGGGGGTTGCTGAGACAGTGCTCGGGCTACCTATAGATTAAAGCCCTGGTTAATTAAACACGGGGCTGTTTCTTTCTCTGTTAAACTTAAACCTTCTCAATTCTGTGGAGACTTTAAAAATTGTTTGATAGTGGTTTATTATTTAGCTCAGTGACTGTGTCAGGCATAGAAGAGACAAAGTATAGATCTACCTTAAAGTGCCCTGCATAATTTAATTCCTTAACCAGGGTTGTGTTGTATGGAATATTGCTTGAAATTATCAAACTATTGGCTAAAATGTTGGTTGCTTTTACATTTGGGAAAGTAAGAAGTATAAAGCCCTCTCAAATTTTCATTTAATATAACAGTGAATTATTTAAGAGAGGTTTAGTTTTGGCTTGGTTGTCCTGTGTTTTGTTAATGGAGAAGCTTTTTTGTGGAGTTAGACAAGTTGATATAAAAGTTCATGTGGAAAAACAAACATGCAAGAATGGCCAGGAAAACACTAGAAAACCTGAAAGCCTACAGGGGGGGGACTAGCTTACATAAAAGCATACTATAAAGCCTGTAATTAAAACAGTATGGCCCTGGTATGTGAAGAGACAGTAGATCAGTGGGATAGAATAGAAAGCAGAAATATACCAAGTATCGTGCAGCCACTGTGGAAAACAGTATGGAGAGTCCTCAAAAGACTAGGAATTGACTTACCATATGACCCAGTAATCCTGCTCCTGGGCATATATGCAGAAGGAACCCTACTTCAGAAAGACACCTGCACCCCAGTGTTCATAGCAGCACTATTTACAATAGCCAAGACATGAAACAGCCTAAATGTCCATAGACAGATGACTGGATAAAGAAAGGTGGTGTATTTATACAATGGAATACTATTCAGCCATAAAAATGACAGCATAATGCCATTTGCAGCAACATAGATGTTCCTGGAAAAGGTCATTCTAAGTGAAGTAAGCCAGAAAGAGAAAGAAAAATACCATATGAGATCACTCATATGTGGAATCTTAAAAAAAAACATAAATACAAAACAGAAACAGACTCATAGACATAGAATACAAACTTGTGGTTCCCAAGGGGGAGGGGGGTGGGAAGGGACAGACTGGGAGTTCGAAATTTGTAGATACTGACAGGCATATGTGGAATACATAAACAAGATTATACAGTATAGCACAGGGAAATATATACAGGATCTTGTGGTAGCTCACAGCGGAAAAGAATGTGACAATAATATATGTATGTTCATGCATAACTGAAAAATTGTGCTCTACACTGGAAATTGACACAACATTGTAAACTGACTATTACTCAATTAAAAAAAAAGAAATATACTAAGTACCTGTGAACATTTAGTGTATGGTAAATCAAGGGACAAAGACAGACTTTTTTAAAAATTGGGGTGTAATCGATTTACAGTATTATATACGTTTCAGGTGTACAACATAGTGATTCACAATTTTTAAAGATTATACTCCACTTATAATTATT